CAGACTATACAATCCGCAGGCAAGCATTGCTCGGAACCACCATAACCCAGATCTCACTCGGCCTCGCCAGTATTCCCGGAGCTGGGAGGACGAAAGAAGGGACAAGGCATTCTTAGGGTGGTTTGGACATGGGGGTTGACAGAAGCTGCCGTGGCGATGAATCCCCTGGGCGTACCTCCTTGCTCGAGAAGCAAGCTGGGGAAAAGCCACTCTTGCGCGGTGGCCGGTGCATATGCAAACGGATCTAACAGGCCTCCTGCAGAGACATGAGCCGCGACCAAGACACCTTGTGGCAGCTGTGGGAGCGCCCCAGCACAGTGCCTGACGCGATGCAGCAAGTCCTGGAGAGCATGGTACATGTCTGGTCCATGTTGAGCCGAGGGGGTCTCGACAAAGGCCTGAAGTCTTGCCCAGATTTGATGCCCTGACTGCACTGTGCTGGTTACTGCTTGGTCGTCCAAAATCAGAGGGAGCAGGGCATCCTGGGCGGGGCAGGAAAGGACATCGCCGACAACTGCAGCACCATTTTCGACTGCGAACCGGAGCAAAGCAACCCATGATTCCGTCCAAGCATGTTCCAAGCCGTGTCCTACTTCGGGAAGCAGCTCGGGTTCCTCGTCGAGGTCTGTCTGTGGAGGCCGACGAAGAGCTTCGGGAGTCCGACCCGAGGCGGTTGAAATCCAGGGTTCGTCTGTGGGCAGCGACCTGCGAGGGCTCTTCGATGGCCTGTCGGCGCCAGAACCACCTCGTTTGCGCCATCTGCCGCCAACAGCCACGGGATGTGGTAGCGAGGGACCTGATGGCTCTGAGAGGTGATGGCTGAGTTCTCCAGAGGGTGCAGCACCTGAAGTAAGCGCTGTAGGGGGGGCAAATAGACATGGGCCATCTGCACGTCCAAAACTCGCTTCTGAGAGCCGGTCGCTGCTCGGTGCTGGCAAGCCTGCTGGCGCATGTATGCCAATTCCGGGAACAAGACCAGCCGAAGGGAAGGCTTTTAGAGCCGCCGCAATGCGGTACACCTCTGCCTCCTGAGCATCTCCCCAGACTGGTCCCAGAGCTGCGGTGGCTGCTGAAACCTTCTCGGAGGAGGTAGTAGATGGCTGGTGTAGTAGGACACCATTCATCTCCTGGGTGGCAGATGCAATGTCCTCGTCGAGCTTGTTGCTGATCGCTTTGACCCGTCCCACTAGGCCAAGGAGATGCTGACTGAGCATGGCGAACCACACGGGGAGGGATGACCTCAGTTCCTCCTTTGCACGCATGTTGCCGCCAAGCCTCTTCGAGAGTCTCGAAATAGAGTTTGCGTGACGCTGAGCAAGCTGCTCTGCAGATGCGTCGTCGACCGTGAAGGCTGCCTGACCCCAGAGATCCTGGGTTGCCCTGGTGGAGATCGATTGTAGAGCAGTTGCCACTGCTGCCGGTAGCGCGTAGTCGACCTTGGATGTCGGTGCGGCCTCTCCACGACCCTGGCTTTTGCCAGCCTTGTTGGGCCCATTGTTCGTAGAGGGCTTCGGAGGCATGCTTCCGTGGTGCTGTGCCAGCAGCCAAAAGGCGGCCTCTGAAGAGCCACCACGGCGTAAGATCCTTCTCGCCTTGCTTCTGGCCTTGCGGCACCGGCGGTGCCACGCCGGACTGCGTACCCGGCTTCTGCGGGTCGTCGCTTCCCACCCAAATCAATCCACAGCCCAGAAGAACCAAGGGAAGAAGAGGGAGGTAAGTGGAGTTCACGGGCATGTGCCGCCCGTAAGTGCTAATACCGATGGTCGGCCGAGGCAGCGAACAGCGGTGTTAGCAGAAAAGTGTCGGAGGCCGCCCTCCGAGGGAAACAGCGCCACGAGGCCTGTCCAGAGGCAGTGCCGCCAGGGGCAGTAGCCGGCGCTATCGCGATAGCTGGGGTCTAGCAAAGCGTTACACCCTAAAACGGCTAGAGCCGAGAAGGGGCGAAAACACCTCGAGCCGAGACGCCTAAACCCTAAATCCTAGAATCCTAGAATCCTAAACCCTAAACCCTAGAATCCTAAACCCTAGAACTCAAAAACCTTAAACCCTACATCCTAGAATCCTAAATCCTAAACCCTAAATCCTAGAATCCTAGAATCCTAAACCCTAAACCCTAGAATCCTAAATCCTAGAATCCTAAACCCTAAATCCTAAAATCCTAGAACCCTAAACCCTAAATCCTGAATCCTAAGCGCCCCCCAGAGTCAATGGTGCACGATTTGGGGTTACTCTTTAGCTACTCTAAAGGTGGTCTGGATACGGCCAGCCCTTAATTGAGTTCGGACGTTGTCGTAAAGAAGGCCACATTCGTTGGCCTGTCCAGGACAGGCGGCGAGGCTTAACCCTCGCCTTTCCGTCTCTCTTTCCGTATGGGCGCTCGGGCTGTGAGGCCCTCGGCCAAGCGTTCGGGGTCTGTCGCTCGACGTCTGCGACCCCTCTCTTAGTTTAGGGTTTTAGGGTTTAGGGTTTAGGGTTTTAGGGTTTTAGGGTTTAGGGTTTAGGGTTTAGGGTTTTAGGGTTTAGGGTTTTAGGGTTTAGGGTGTGTAACAGTATGCGCGCGGTGGGTGCGCCTTTTACTTTAGGAATAGGGGGCGCACCCACTAATCGCGCGCTTGCGTCAGCATGTAGTCCCGCCCCAACCACCCCAACTATTCTCAATTAGGGTTTAGGGTTCACCCCCCAAACCCCCCTCAAGGGGGGCTTTCTTGCTCTCTGCTTCCTTTCGCAGCTTGACATGTAAACAATAATATTTCTCCAGAAATCACAACCGAAATGGTTTCTGTCGGGTTGTGGGTCCTCGCGGCCTGTGCCGGCCGCTCGATGTAAAGCAAGGGTTTCCAACAAACAGCTTGCATCTCGCGCCCTGTAAGGGGTGCTCGAAGTGTGAACAAGGCGGGGCAAGAGGGCGGGCAGGGCAGGCAGGGCGGGAGGGCAGGGCAGGCAGGGCACGCAGCAGGCAGGCAGGAAGGGCAGGGCAGGTGAGGGGAGGGGAGGAGGGCAGGCAGCGGCGGGGGGGGGGGCACCCCCCCAGGGCAGGGCAGGGCAGGGCGGGGGGGGGGTGGGGGCACCCCCAGAAAAAGGGGTAGCGGAGGGGCGAAATGCAGGAAATTTGGAGGTCGCCCCCTAGGACCCACCTGGAGGCCCCCGGGTCCTTGGAGTCGGCCAGCCTGGGGGCCCAGACCCCCCCGGGGGTGCCCCCCAGACCCCCCAGCCAGACCCAAAAAGACACCAATGGTTGTGGGTTTGGGGTCCTAATTATAACGGACTGACGTCCGTATTGTGTGAGGCGTAGCCGAGTCATTTCCGTCCCCGTATACCGGGAGGCTTTACCCTCCCTCACCGTCTTGTCGGGACGCTCGGCCGGGGGCCTCGGTCAGAGCCTCGAGCGCCCATGCAAATGGTCAGCGGCGCTCTCGGCAGTTTTAGGGTTTTAGGGTTTTAGGGTTTAGGGTTTTAGGGTTTAGGGATTTAGGGTTTAGGGTTTTAGGGTTTAGGGTTTTAGGGTTTAGGGTTTTAGGGTTTAGGGTTTTAGGGTTTAGGGTTTAGGGTTTAGGGTTTTAGGGTTTCAGGGTTTAGGGTTTAGGGTTTAGGGTCAAAGGTCAATGTATGCGCCCCTGATCACCGGGCATGGCATCCTGAGTCCTATACTAGACCCAAGAGTAACCCAGGCATAAAAAGGATGCCCTTTTTGGTTTAAAGGGGCTTATAAGGGAACCTGAACGCTAAAAAAGGGAATAAGGGCCTACTCTGGGTCCTAGTATCGCTATACCTCAAGCCCTAAATCACCTATATACCTGGATAAGGCTCCTTGTTTTGATTTCCTTGAAGTATGCAAGCATGCGGAAGAAGGACCCGCGATGACTTTAAGCAATGCAGGTGTTCTAGAAAGTCTCCAGCATCATCTGCGACGACATGGCCGTCAGTCTTACCGGAAGCTTAGGGTACAGGGTAACCAATCGCAGGCTTTGTGAAAGTCTACCTGCTCACACTGCCGGGCTTTGTTGGAACAGGCGTCTTCGCATTTGGATCAACACCCTTCAGGCTCGGTAACGAGGAGCTCCGTGAACTGTCTTCCAGCAACTGATAGGCGACGCATTTATCTTACTATTAGTATTGTTATTACCATGAATATTATTATCAATACTACTGTTAATAGTACTATGACTATTATCATTAATATTACAATTGATGTTACTATGACTGTTGATATAGCTTGAGGCATCTGACCTGAAGCCATCACGCCAAGAGGTTCTCCGACTAGGCCATCGGGGGCTGCAGCGGGCTTGCCCGCAGGATGTTCTGCTAATCATAGGGATCCTTAGGGGTGTAGGGGGAGGGGGGGTAGGGGGCCTTAAGGCCCATAATAAGGACTAATAAGGCCTATTTAAGGAAGTATAGTCCCCTACACCCCTCCCCCCTACACCCCTAAGGATCCCGATGAGCTAAGATGTCAAAGATCACTCTCAGGGGAGGACTTCTCGAACGAAAAGAGATGAGGCTTGAAGGTTTACACTATGGTTTCGTTTCGGTGCCCGGGCTAAGAGTTGAGGGTTTATTGTTTCGGGTTGAGTGGTTTGGGGTTGAAGGCTAAGGGGTCGAGGTTTGGGGCTTGGCCGTTTAGACATGTTGACTAGGGTGTGTGTTTGGGCCGTTTTCGGTCCTCGGCCTCAAGGAAGACAGGTATCACCCTAAACCCTAAACCCCTAAAACCCCTAGACTCCTATACCCTAAACCCTGAAACCCCTAGACCCCTACACCGCCAAAACCCTAGACCTATGAACCCCGGAGCTCCAAGCTAACAAAGCGTCATGCCAATAGCCCCGAAACACTGACCGCATTGCGCCCTGATTTCTTTTCCCAACCAAAATATGTGAATCTATTTGTAACAGTTGAAAGTGAGTCTACTGCCTTCTCATACCACGAACATTCCTTCGGTTCAAGATTTGCTGCTCCCGAAACACGCATGGCTCCCAACTCCAAACTCTGATGCTGCAGCGGGCCTTCCCAGGACATACTTGTCGACATAGTACTCCTCCAGTGTCAGCTGTCAGCTCATGTCTTCAGTTCAGTGGGGTTCAATGTTCGGAGTCTGGGTTTGAGGGACTACTGTAGGGGCCTTCATAGCAAGAAAAAGGTTTTGGGGCCCATTACACTATAACTATAATAAGAAACCCCCGCAATAGTATAGGACACTATTTAGGCCCATTTGTACAGGAATCATCTCCCGACACCATCCCTTGAAAGCCTCAACAGCCGAAATTGCTTCAACCTGATGTTTGCCGGCCCTTCGACGTCACGCTGGGTTACCCGAAACCCTAAACCATTCCCAAAGGCTCCATGTACCATTATAGTAGATACTTAAGCCTTAAAGGGGTCCCTATGTAGGTACTTTAAGGCCTAAGTATATACTATATGGGTACATGGATTTTTAGGGATTAACCACAGCCATGACCTGGCTCGTGAGTCCTTAAAAGCCAGCCTGAAACTTCCCCAAGATGAACATGACCCCAGCCCAGTCTCACTGAAGCCTTCTGCAGCTGGTCTCAACACAGGGCCATGTCAGGTTATTCTAGTTTTAATTGTCCAATAGTACAGACAGGAAGATGTTGCACCGCTGGTGCAAATGCCCCTTACTGTAAACACCGTTACTGTAAGGGGGATGGTCCCAAAGTACGTATGCAATCCTTGTAGAACCTTCATAATGCCAATGTGAAATCCTAAACCCTCAACAACGCTTTCATAATGTTTGTTTTTAATTCGGTTTAGTTCTTAAACCCTTAGCAGTATCAAACCCCAATGGATCTAAAGAACTGACTCGAAAAAAGAGCCAAGGCAAAACCTTAAGCCCTGTAAGCCTTGAGCCCTGGACCCAAAATCTCAAGCCCCCAAAACCCAAGATCCCTGTAGATCCCTGTAGATCCCTTAAAGCACCCCTTAAAGAACCCCTTAAAGGAACCCCTAAAACCCCTAAACCCCAAAACCTCAAACCCTAAACACGATGCCAAGGTAGGTCTCTGACTCTGTCGCCCTTGTAACGTCGGTCCAGGTAGGCGAGCCTGCCGGTCTTTAGCGGTTGAGGGTGTAACTGTTTACCCTAGATGGGCTTAGAGCTTAGTTCTGTGGTTTACGGTTCAGGTTTAGGGTTGGGGGTTTAGGGCTGTCAGGCTATACACCCTAAGGGTCCAAGTACCTAATTATCATATACTCTCCGAAACAGTAACCTACATAACTACTATCCCAAAACCGAGTACCTGATCATTGGGTCCTTTGAACCCTAAACCCTAAACCCTAAACCCCTAACCCCTAAACCCCTAAACCCCTAAACCCTAAACCCTAAACCCTAAGGGCTGAGGGAGCTTGGGAGCTTGTGGGGGGGGGGGTTCGGGTTTTCGAATTAAGTTCAAAGGGAAGAGGAGGGACCCTTACTAAAGACCCGTACCCTATAATGGGTTAGGGTTTAGGGTTTAGGGTTTAGGGCTATATAATGGCTAAAAAAATGGCTAAACAAATTGCTTTATTATGGGTATATACCTAGGGGTCCTTATTAGGGGTCCCTCCTTTTACCCTTGGTGGGTGTAATGGTTTGGGGTTTCTGGCTTGGGGCTTAGGGTCTAGGGCTTTGAGGGTAGAGGGCTCTGCAGGATTGTCAAAGGCTTCTATGCTCTTCAGGCTGTTTGCGTTCAGGTATCTAGAATGTCCGATTTGAAGTTTAGGATCAGAACCCCAAACCCTCATACCTAAACCCCCAAAGTAGGCAAAATATTGGCCCAATACCTATAAAAGGCCATTATTCTACATACTTTGGGGGTCCAGGTAATCTTCAAGCCTCAAGCAAGGGTGGTATTGGGCCATGATTTCATATGTTCGGGGTTCCGGACGATTCGAAACTCAGATCTGGAGTTTTGGGGTTTGGGTTTACTTGGAGGATCATGGGACTTAGTATGTACGCATGGTTACAAGTACTTTGATTGGGGTTATAAGTACTTATTAGTGTAGTTACCCCATTAGTAACCTTAGTTACTAAGTCCCATGATCCTTTAAGTAGGGGCTCATGAAGGACAGGGGGGTGCACTACGCACTACGACACCACTCCAGGGGCGTTAATAATTAGAATAGGCTTCTGAGGCCCATTATACTAGACTTATAATAACGACCCCCCCCCCAAAAAAAAACCAAAAAAAAACATAGTATAGGTAGCTATTTATGTTCCCAAAGGGTCCTATGTACCGATATCGTAGAATCTAGGGTTTCCATATTAGGAATTACTTATTATGACTTAGGGAAGTATCCCCCATAACAGTACATAGGACCCCTTTGGGAGTATGTTCCCCAGCTGGGGCCTTGCATTCTTCCTCCGCGTGACGGCATCGTCCCGCTTCCACGGCCTCGGAGCTGGGGATGGTTTGGGTCTTAGGATATAACCTAGACCTAAGAGTAACCTAGGAATAAAAAGGGTGCCCTTTTTGGTTTAAAGGGGGTTATAAGGGAACCTAAACCCTAAAAAAGGGAATAAGGGCCGACTGTGGATCCTAGTAACCCTAAGGGTCCATGTACCTCTTGGGGTTTAGGGTTCCGTTAAGGGTTCTACAAAGGACCACCATAAGGGTTCGGGTTTAGGGTTCAGGGGTTAAGGCTTTAGGGTTCAGGGCTTTAGGGTCCTACTTAAAGGATCATGGGACTTAGTAACTATAAGGTTAGTTTAGGGTAACTATACTTATAGCTGCTTATAACCCCAATTAGGGTACTTATAACCATACTTACTAAGTCCCATGAACCTCCAAGTAAGGGTGCATGTACCCAAATAGGGATCCTTTAAGGGCTACTAGAAGAGCTCCAACAGAGCTCTATAAGGGTTAAGGGTTTAAGGGTCTATGTAGCCAGATAGCATATACTTTGGCCCCGAAGTACCTATATAAGGACTACTTCAAGGCCAACGTATATGCTACAGTATTTGGGTACATGGACCCTTCGGGTGAGGGCCTAGGATCTATGGTTTGGGCTATAAGGTTGAGAGTCTATAGTTCAGGCTTTGGGGTTCAGGGTTTAAGGTCGAGAACAACGGCAAAGGAATTAATGGCTAAAGGGTGTTGAGGGCTACCGCACTGAAAAAATCGAAGGTTAGGGGCTTCTGGGCTAAGATTTGACAGTTTCAGGGTTTGGGATGCAAGGTTTAATCGAAAACCTAGACCCTGAAATGCACCCCGTTGGTCTGTGGAAACATGATAGGTGTGACTACTAAGGCTAACTACAACCTGGGACTTAACAAGAGCAAGGTGCTGGGGTGGAGTATTAGAATCATGCTGGGGCTGCAAGAGAGGAGGATTACTAACTGTTCAGCCCTAGACAGAAACCCTAAACGCCTAAACCTTAACCTTAAAGGAGCTTTTTCGGAAAGGCTACTTATAGTAGAGGTCCTGACCAGGCAACGCCTCTGTATACTTTGGCTCAAGCTTGTCAATTCCGGGCCCCGAGTAGTTGAATATTTCGAGCTTCATTACGGGGTTCGGGATGGTTCGGGGTTTAAGGATCCTAAACCCTAAACCCTAAACCCTAAACCCCTAAACCCTAAACCCCTAAACACGGTCAGGGTTTAGGCTTGGAGGATTCCAGTTTTAGGGCTTTCATCTTCAGCCCTGCAGCTGTCAGATCTTGAATGCGACAACACTATGCGCACCTAAAGCCTAAACGCCACATGCGCGAAACCCTAGCATACTGCTGATGTTATACATCCTGCATTACCCATAATAGGGAATATACCAAAAAACCCATAGTGTAGGGTCCTTAAGGTAATGCAGGTGTTATATCATCCACCCTCAGCCCCCTATAGATCCCTTAAAGGAACCCCTTAAAGGTACCCCTTATAGATCCCTTTAAAGGAACCCTAGTGGTACAGCCCCAAAGCGCTGGGCCGTGCACCCAATGCGAAGCTTTCGCCGAGACCCCGCCGAGGGCGAAGGGGGCCGGGCACCATCCGGCGCCTCAAGGTATAGGGTTTAGGGTTTAGGGTCTCTTAGGGTTTAGGGTTTTAGGGTTGAGGGTAATATAGGGGCCTGAATAATTAGAATAGGGTTCTCGGGCGGCCCATTATACTATAACTACAATAACGAGCCCCCCCCCCAAAAAAAAAAACAAAATAATAATATAGGCAATTATTTAGGCCCGTATAGTAGTTTGCTTGCTTTGCTCTTCCATGTTCTGGGATCGGAAGTCTTTCGGGTTGTGGAGCAGCTTGAACCCCCCCGGGTCCTGAGCCCAGATCCCTCTAAGCCAGATGTCAGGTCCGCGGGTCCAAATCGTAGCTTACCATATTCCCTCCAAGGGTCAGTGTGCTTGAATACTTAAAACAACCAGAAAGCCCACCACCCTTACTTACAGAAGATTCTCTTCTCCCTCTCTCTCTCTCTCTCTCTATCTCTCTCTCTCTCTCTCTCTCTCTCTCTCTCTCTCTCTCTCTCACACACCCGACTGAGAAACCCCACTAATACTTTAAGCAGTCTTTGTCAAGTAAGGGGTACCGCTCCCGGGTTCTCTGGGTGCTTGGTGCCGAACGGGGAGTCGATCGTACCCGAGGCCCATATATAGGGGCCTCCACAATTGGAACAGGCTTGGTGTCTATTCTAGATAAGTAGCCAAATTGTAGCTGAATAGAAGTAGATCCAGGGACCCTAATGACCAGCACTGTTTGTTTTCCGGCGCGAGACATTCCCTCACTCTTGCGCAATGAAAACCGATTATGTACTGGCACTAACGCTGGCAGTGTACAGTTCTAAACAAGAAACCCGAGAAAACAAGGTCATCATGCTACGACTCATGGGTGGGGCATGGGATGTAAGGCTTAGGGTGCAGAAAACCCTGCCCCAAAACCCTAAACCGTGAACCCCAAACCCTGAAATCCCAAAACCTAAAACCCTAAACCCTAAAATCCTAAAGCCAAAACGAAGCCCAAACCCTGAACCCTAAAATCCCAAACCCTAAAACCCTAATCCTAAACCCCCTAACCCTAAACCTTAAAACCCTAAACCCTGCAAACCCTATAAACCGTATAAGTCCTATAAACCCTATAAACCCTATAAACCCTAAAACTTAAAACCCTAAACCCCCAGTTTCCGCGCCTCGCCGTAATGCTTCATCCCCGGCCGCAAAGCCGGGGGCCGGGGTCGTGGAGCCGGATAGAGATAGAGGTCCTCTTCTTCTTGGGGTTTAGGGTTTTAGGGTTTAGGGTTTTAGGGCTTTAGGGTTTTAGAGTTTAGGGTTTTAGGGTTTAGGGTTTAGGGTTTTCGGGTTTAGGGTTCTAGGGGTTTAGGGTTTTAGGGTTTTAGGGTTCTAGGGTTTAGGGTTTTAGGGTTTTAGGGTTTTAGGGTTTAGGGTTTTAGGGTTTTAGGGTTTTAGGTTTTAGGGTTTAGGGTACTTAGGTAGAGGTCCTCTTCTTCTTTTCTTCATCATAGTTGGGTAACATGTTTGCATTTTCTAGACCCAAGAGTAACCCAGGCATAAAAAGGATGCCCTTTTTGGTTTAAAGGGGCTTATAAGGGAACCTGAACCCTAAAAAAGGGAATAAGGGCCTACTCTGGGTCCTAGTTTTTTGGTATTTGAACCCGATACGGAATAAACATGAATTTTTTGCAATCCTACCCCAACAATGATCTAGCCTTAGATACTTGAGGGTGTAGAGGGTTTAGGGTTTGGGATGTATAATAGGGTTTAGGGTATAGGGTTTCTAGGTTTAGGCCTTAGGGTTTGGGGCTTTGGGGCTCTAGGTTTAGGGTTTGAGGTTTTATGTTTAGGGCTTTCCGATGTTAAGCTTGAGGGCCTTTTGGCCTCAGGGTTTCAAGGCTGCAGGGATTGGAGTACAGAGTCTTAGGTTTAGGGCTTAGGGTTTAGGGTTTAGGGTTTAGGGGTGAAGGGTTTAGGGCTTAGGGTTTAGGGCTTAGGGTTTAGGGGTGAAGGGTTTAGGGCTTAGGGGTGAAGGGTTTAGGGTTTTAGGCTTCAGGGCTTGAGGGTTTAGGGTCAAGGGGTTGAAGGTTGCGGGGATTGGGTTGGGGCACAGGTCTTGTTTCGCGCTTGCGAAGATCCTGTTTCCGGAAGTTCATTGAGGTCTTCGACACTCGCTCTAGCGGATGTCCAGGTTGTTGTGTGTTGCTGTTGGCAGGTTCATGTAACCCAAAATCCAAAACCCCGCACAGGTTTTCCCAAGCTTTCCAGGTGCATCGCCTCAAGTTGAGTCGACGCGGAAATTGACTTGGATTGGAAAAGGGTCGATTCGACTGTCATCATCAGCTGATTGTGTGCAGCATCGCTTTCGAATCCTGAGACCAACCCACTCAAGCATCTTCCAAAATTCTTGCGCCGCTGGTCTGCATGCTGGGCTCTTCTAAAAAGCTCTGATGGGTCTCATCAGTCCTGAATGCTGAAGAAGCTGTGGACCAATCAATCCACCCTTCGTTGTGTCAGTTGTAGTATCCGAAGGCTCCATGTACCTTTATAGTAGATACTTAAGCGTTCAAGGGGTCCCTATGTAGGTACTTTAAGGCCTAAGTATATACTATATGGGCACATGGAGCCTTAGGGGAATCCAGACAACGGAGCGTCTTTTGGCATGCAGAAGTCGCTGCCCCCTGGGCACAAAAGCAAGTGCTCAGGTCGGGATCCTTTCTCTAACCCTTAGGCCCTAAGGACTCATATTTAAAGGCCTTTGGGCCCAAAGACCATACTATATAAGGCTTTTGGCCTACTTTGAGCCTTAGGGTCAGGTTTAGGTGCTCTTGACGCCACCTAAAGCCCGCAGTTAAAGAGGGTGCAGCACGAAGGCATTCGAAATGATGCTGATGACCATGTCGAGTACGACGACGACGAGGACGGTGATGCTGATGCTGATGATGATGACGAGAGTGATGCTGAATGATGATGCTGACTGATGATGCTGATGCTCATGCTACTGCTGACGGTGATCAGTGATGAGGATGGTGATGGCAATGGTGATGATGAAGATAACAAAGCTTGGTGGGTCAGGGTGTAGGGTTGAGGGTTTAGGGTTGGGGGTTCAGGGTAGGGTACTTGGGCTCTCTAAGAACGCATCTAATGTAGAGTCGAGTTTATTCCTAGTAACTGGTACCCCCTCATGACATCACCAAGGTCCCCAAGGAGCCCCTTTGTGCTCGAACCAAGTTCCCAATATGCCCCTACTGCATACCCAGACCCTATATAATTAGATTGTGCTACTATTTTTGGTACCGTACTTACATGTTATCGGATCCTATCCGAAAAGGGTACGAAGTTAAAGCGTTACAGTTGAGGGTTTAGGTGAGCCATATATCGAATCGCACCCTAAAGCTGCCCGAAACGCTTAACATCGCAGAACATATACGCCCCATGTAAATCCCCAAGGCCCTTGTCGAATCCCGATACCTCAACCTCTCACCACAAAAGCACTCAAACAACACTGTAGAGAGTAGAGACCTGCAAATCCTAAACTCTAATTTCCAAAGCCTAAACCCTTAACTTCAACCCTCAACTCTAATTCCTAAAGCCTAAGCCCTGAACTTCAAGAACGCATAAGCCTCAACCCTAAGCTCCAAGCCTTAACACTGCCACTAAAGCTCTTAACCTCAGCATCCTGCACCACTGCCATACCCCAAATAAACCCTAGACCCTAACCCTTGATAAATCTAAAACCCTGTACACCCTGAACTCTTAAACAATCTAAACCCCTAAACCCTAAATCCCCAGCCCTAAACCCCTAGCCCTAAACCCTAAACCCAAAGTCTTGAACTCTATAAACCCTAAACCCAAAGCCCCAAACTCCAAGGCCTAAACCCTATGCCCCTTCCTAAACACCCCGGCCCCACCTTAACCCCATATAGCCTAGCTTTCTAAGGACTCAGAAGGAAATCAGGTTGAGGGTCCCTAAACCCGCAGGTTTCTTAGGGTTTAGGTAAGCCCTAAGCCCCTAAACCCCTAAACCCTAAACCCTACCTGTAGCCGAAACGACCTCCCTTTTTATTGTTCCTTATATTATATAGTTCCTTCAAAAGGTAGGTCTTTTCGGCTAAAACCCTAAACCCTAAACCCTCTGGGTCCTCCTTTGCATCCTCCAGCTCGCCTGAACCTCCGAGCCGCCCCGTTTGTGGGTACCGGGGGTTTCCTGTAGGGTTCCCTTACCCTAAGGGTCCAGAGGACCCAATAATCAGGTACTCGGTTTTGGGATAGTAGTTATGTAGGTTACGGTTTTGGAGCGTATATGATAATCAGGTACTTGGACCCTTAGGGTTAAGGGATCCCTTAAAGGGGTCTTGGGTCCCTTTAAGGGATCTATAAGGGTTCCTTTAAGGGATCTCTAAGGGTTCTTTTATATGGATCTATAAGGAGTCCTTTCAGGGATCTGTAAAGATCCCTTCAAGGGGTCTACACGGGCTCCTTTGAAGGGGTTTCGGGTCCCAAGAAGAGCTCTATAAGGAGTCCTTGAAGGGATCTATAAGGAGTCCTTTAAGGGATCTACAAGGGCTCCTTTAAGGGGTCTATAAGGGCTCCTTTAAAGGGATCTATAAGGGCTCCTTTGAAGGGATGGTTTAGGGTTTAGGGTTTAGGGTTCCAAGGGATCTATAGGGGTGCTAATTAGGTTTGCTTTTTCGGATCTATTAGGGTGCCTTAGGGGGTGAGGGCTTCGGGTGTAGGGCTTGGGGATGAGGGTTCAGGGCTTAGGGTTTAGGGCTTCAGGTTTAAGGTTTAAGGGTGTAGGGCTTGAGGTTTTAGAGTTTAGAGTGCTCTAGGGTTTAGGGGCTAAGGTGTGGGGGCTAGTTACGGTTTAGGGTTTTTGGTGCAGCTGTTTAGGGGTTGGGGTTTAGGGGTTAGGGGTTGAGGTTTTCGGGTTTGGAGTCTAGATCTTATAGACCCCGCACATCTAAGCTAGCTACATTATTGATTCCGGTTGATGATATAAATCCTGCATTACCCATAATAGGGAGTATACCATAATTCGCATAGTTTCACACTAAGGTAATGCAGGATTTATATCATCAACCGTTCGGAAGCACTTGGCTCCAAAAAGGGGGCCGGCCTGCATCAATGTCAACCAATTAAATCACAGCATTCTGAGATGGAAAAAAAGCCTTACTTAGTTGCTGAGTTCATAAGCCCCCCAAAAGAGAGCACCTTTAGTTTTCTAGTTGGTAATCTTCTCCCCAAGCAGTGTAAAGTGTATCCACTCCGCTACCAAGCTTGATTACCAAACCTTAAACTCCTTCTTCTAGCGCAAACGCCCGTTGGGGTTCATTCCCCTATAGCAAGCCTTTCAAGGCGTTCTTGCAGAAAGCTTGAGGGCTCCTTTAGAGCCGTAACCCTAAACCCTAAACCCTGAACCCTAAGCCCTAAACCCTAAACCCTAACCCCTAAACCCTAAACCCTTCACCCCTAAACCCTAACCCCTAAACCCTAAACCCTAACCCCTAAACCCTAAACCCTAACCCCTAAACCCTAAACCCTTCAACCCTAAACCCTAAACCCCACCCCTAAGCCCTAAACCCTTCACCCCTATGCCCTAAACCCTTCACCCTAAACCCTAACCCCTAAACCCTAAACCCTGAACCCTAAACCCTAACCCCTAAACCCTAAACCCTTCACCCCTAAACCCTAAACCCTAACCCCTAAACCCTAAACCCTTCACCCCTAAGCCCTAAACCCTTCACCCCTAAGCCCTAAACCCTTCACCCCTAAACCCTAAACCCTTCACCCCTAAACCCTAAACCCTAAACCCCTAAACCCCTAAACCCTAAACCCTTCACCCCTAAGCCCTAAACCCTTCACCCCTATGCCCTAAACCCTTCACCCTAAACCCTAACCCCTAAACCCTAAACCCTGAACCCTAAACCCTAACCCCTAAACCCTAAACCCTTCACCCCTAAACCCTAAACCCTAACCCCTAAACCCTAAACCCTTCACCCCTAAGCCCTAAACCCTTCACCCCTAAGCCCTAAACCCTTCACCCCTAAACCCTAAACCCTAAACCCCTAAACCCCTAAACCCTAAACCCTTCACCCCTAAGCCCTAAACCCTTCACCCCTAAGCACTAAACCCTTCACCCCTAAACCCTAAACCCTAAACCGGGTCTTTTGAAGGGATGCTCGGGTTCAGGGTCTCGGGCTTGGAATGTCTGCTAGGAGTTTGGGGTTCAGGTTTGCGGATTACCCAGAGGCTCCAAAGTAGTTCCTTTTTGGGATTACCTTATGGGATTCTAAATATGAACCCCAAAAAGGAACTACTATGGAGCCTTAGGGTAATTTTCCAGACAGATACGGGGACCCCATGATTTCAGCATTTTCCAAACATAGCACGAGACCCGTAAAAGCAAGTACATGAACCCTAATGTCGGGACCTGATTAAGAAACCCTCGGCCTGTAACCCCAAAAACGTAGGATTCAAATAAGGTGCCCTAAGAAAGGCCCAAGGTTTCTTAATCAGGCTCCTACATTAAGCCGCAAACCCGTCAACACTAAACCTTAAACCTTTGCCTCCCCGATGGATCACGAGGGCCATTGTCCCATTATAGCCCTATAGCCCCCAGCTATATAAGAGTTGCCGAAGATAGGGGATCGAAGTATAGTACCCTAAATAGTAGGACCCGTATTATAAGGACCCCAAAATGAAGTACCCCTAAACTTCGGAAACTTTAAACCCCAAACCCTGTGTAGAACCCCTATAGATCCCTTTCAAGGATCCCTTTAAAGGAACCCCTAATTTTCGGAAACTCCCCTTTAAGTGATGTGCGTCGTTCTAGAGAGCCCCAACCTTCGTCTGAGCAGTTAGACCCCTGAACTCGCGACGCCAAAAAAACCTGAAGAATCAGGATCCCTATCAGAGGCCTTATGATTAAGAACATGAGGGGTCAGGATCCCTATCAGCGGCCTTATAATTAAGAACATGAAGGGTTTGGATCCCTATCAGAGGCCTTATAATTAAGAACATGAGAGGTTTAGGGTTTAGGGGGAACCGTCATGAAGACCCTATTTCACTGACTAAGGCCCCTGCATTGCAGCCCTCTCTCGATAGGTGGGGCCCGGGCTCTCTGTCCAGTTCTTCATGCGCTCTGCCACGTCCACGATTTTGCTGAGCTCCTGCGTCGGTGGCTGTTCAGACGGGTCTACTTGGAGGTTCAGGGGTAGTTATAAGTAGGGTTATAAGTCCCCGAATATGGGTTATAAGTATAGTTACGCTACTTATAACCCTACTTGTAACCACCCATGACCCTCCAAGTAGGAGCCTTATTTATAAGAGCTTCAAAAAGTGCACGGCGCTATGTAAAACCCTCAGCCTCAGCCTTAAACCCAACAAGCCTAACAATCCTATAATCCTAAAGCCCCAATCACCCCAGACCCTATAACCCTACAAACCCTAAACTCAAAACCAATAACCCTAAAAACCTTACAACCCCCAAAACCCTGTACCCCTAAACCCTAAAATTTAAAAACCCTAGGAGTCTAAGTCCCAATTATCATATGCTCTCCGAACCAGTTTCCTACAAAACTATCATCATAAACCCGAGTACCCGATTATTGGGTCCTTTGGACCCTTAGGGTTATAACCCTAAGAGCCGATCCATCCCTTCAAGCCCAAAGACACGAGCTCTTATAATTAGACTAGGGCTTATGGGGTCTAAGGTTTCGTAGACCAGGAGACCTCGTTAGCACCAGGCCCTATACATCTATAATGTAGTATATAAAACCTACATAAACCCTGCCTGAAACCCTAGAAAACCCCTAAAGGAAACCATATAGATCCCTTAGAAGTACCCTTAAAAGGAACCCCATAGAGCCCTTAAAGGAGACCTTAAAGGAGCCCTTAAAGGAGACCCTTAAGGAACCCCATAGATCCCTTAAAGGAGGCCCAGTAACCTAGGAACAAAAAGGGTCCCCTTTTTGGTATTGGGTAACTTTATAGGAACCTGGGACTACAAAAAGGGAATAAGGGTACTACTGGGCATCCTAGTCCCTTCAAGGAGGCCCTTGAAAGGAACCCCATAGATCCCTTAAAGGAGGCCCTTGAAGGAGACCCCTATATGTAATATAAAAGTCCTTTATAGGAACCCTTATCGATCCCTTTGAAAGGAACCCTTACTTGGAGGATCATGGGACTTTAGTAAGCAAGGTTGTAAGTACCTTAATTGGGGTTATAGGTAGTTATAAGTATAGCTACCCCAATAATAACCTTAGTTACTAAGTCCCATGATCCTCTACAGTAGAAGCCAGAAAGTTGGAATATGATTATCCTAAACCCTCTATGGAAAATTATAAGGTATCCTACCCTGAAACCATATTCCAACTTTCTGGAGTTCCCTTTAAGTAACGGAACCCTAAACCCTCTCTTAAAGGAGGCCTTACGAGGCTCTCCTGGAAGCTCTGCTCGAGAACTTGCCCCTTGTCGAGGATGATCTTCTCCGGGCAAAACCTTAGAAGCTGCCCCCACCCTGTAATAGTGGTTTAGTGTTTAGGATTTAGGGTTTGGGATTTAGGGTTTGGGATTTAGGGCTTAGGGGTTTAGGGTTTAGGGAATGGATTAGACGGGGCCCCCACCCTGTAATAGTGGTATAATAGGAATACAATAGGGCCCTATTATAATCCTTATAGTCACTATTACAGGGTGAGGGCAGCTTCAAAGCAAAATCTGACGAAAGAACTTATCGATGGGGATCCCTTTAAGGGCCTCATCGATGGGGTTCCCTTTTAGGGTCCCTTTGAAAAGATCTGCAAGGGTTCCTATGAGGGATTTTTATAGCATTTTAGGTTGGGTTTATGTAGGGTTTAGGATCGTCTCAGGGCAGAGATTGATGAAACCAAATCGGTTCTATAGATTAGAAGGGGCCCCCACCCTGTAATAGTGGTATAATAGGAATATAATGGGGCCCCTAATATAATCCTTATAGTCACTATTACAGGGTGGGGGCAGCTTCTAATCTATAGGCTTTAGAGGATAGAGTTACAGGGTCTAGGGTTTAGGGTAAACCTGATAGAAACAATATCGTGGCTATGGGCTTTAGAGCTTAGGATTTAAGGTGAAGGGGTTTAGGGGGTTATTGTGTTCAAGACGTATCGGGACTACTAAATGGTGATACTTTGTACGGCCTCGGGATACTTGATGACATGCGAGCTGCCACAAGGTCATGATTCATGATAGACCACTATTCTTTGAACAAAGGGCTGTGCGGGTTTCTATGCAGTTTCAACGTCGGTAACGCCAATACAAGTTCTAAGCTCATTCTCACAGTCTTCATGTCGGGCGACTGTGCCAGTGCCTGCATTACAAATTCAGAACGCAGGTGTTTACCATGTTAGTGAGGCCTGTCATTGCACGAGCTCGCTCCTGCATCAACTTGGGCTGCTTCTTTGTGCGAGGCACGACTTGCTTGCCTCGGACTCATCACGTGCTCATCGGTAACTCTGCCGCTTGTAGCTGATGATTTCCCATCAGATGGGGCCACAATATAGGGGCCTTGCTAATTAGAATAGGGTCTCGATGCATATTAATTTTGCTGTAACTATAACAAGGAATCCCCAAATAGTATTGGAAATTATTTAGGCCCCTATAGAATACGGCTTGAAGAAATCTGCCGGCTCGTGAAGCAGCTGCACGTCGTCCACCTAGCCTCATCCGGCCGATCAGCGAGCGAATCAAAGGCTTGGATGCCCAGTAACCTAGACATGAAAAGGGCTCCATTTTTTGGTAGTGGGTAACTTTACAAGGAACCTAGGACTACAAAAAGGGAACAAGGGTACTACAGGGCATCCTAGAAGGGAGCATCCATGCCGCTTTGCTTTCTCTTCGAGGCGCTGCAGAGACGTTTATCCAAAGTACATCCAGATTGACTTGGCGCGGCTTTGCCTTGCGCAATCAGCAAGCAGCCGTGGCCGCCCCCTGTGAAATCACGATCGCTCAGCTACATCGAGATGTGCGAAACTAGAGATCTACACTACTTGATGCTGAATGGGGGATGCAGCACCTGCAGAACCCAGGCTAGAACACCAAACATACGAACTCGGCAGCAAACTCTCCACCCTTGAACTTTGAAGTGCTTAATGTGGGGCCTTCATAATCTGAATAGGGTTTTGGGGTATATATTCTACTATAATAATAAAAGAACCCTCACAATAGTATTGGTAATTATTTCGGCCCCTATATTCAAAGTCTTGAGCCTGGGAGCTTAACTTCATGTGTACCAAACCTAAACTCGAATCTGTGTGGAGCCTGCTAGCCTTCTGTGGAAGCCATACAAACACTTAAACCTCTGCGACGAAGTCAGAACAGAACCCTTCAAGAACCCTGAAAGAACCCTCACTGAAAGCTTGAAAAAGACCCTCATAGATCCCACATAGCACCCTTCTCGAACACCAGAGCCCTTCTAGAACCCCCCTGGAATCCTTACTATAAACCCCTGAAGCCCTAATTAAAGCCTAAACCCCGGGGCCCTTGAAAAGCCGACCAGGGCCGGCACTGCCCCGATCTCCCATTTTCGAAGCCGCGGTTGCGGTTGCGGAAGAGGGAGATCTGAAGTAAGGTTCAGGGTGTGGGCTTGGGGCCTAAACCCCTAAATCAGTAAATCTCTAAACCCCTAAAACCCTAAACTCTTAAACCCGTAAACCCTACAGAGCCTGACAGGGCTAAGGGTTTTCAAGGGTGTTTTCAGGGTTGTGCGGGTTCCGCAAGTATGGATTTCAGGGAGATGTTAGCGTTCGGAGATGTAGGCATTTAGGGTTGTTCAGGATCAACTTCGCTAGGAAGCTGAGGTCTCAGGATTACTAAGGTGTACAGTACTTGCAGGTTCATGGGTAGCTATAATTAGGGTTATTAGAAGTAGGGTAACTATACTCATATCCCATATTCAATTGGGGGAATTACAACCCTACTTGTAACTACCCCTGAACCCTAAACCCTATACCCTTATAGAATCCCTCTAGATCCCTTTAAAGGGACCCTACTTATAACTACCCCTGAACCTCCAAGTGGGTTTGGGATGGATAGCTAGCAGCGGGGATCTGAGGGGGTACACGCTCTTGTTTATTACATCTCTTCTTTCATAGGGATCCTTAGGGGTGTAGGGGGGAGCGGTGTAGGGGACTATATTTCCAAAAATAGGCCTTATTAGTCCTTATTATGGGCCTTAAGGCCCCCTACCCCCCCTCCCCCTACACCCCTAAGGATCCCTATGATTCTTCCGGCTTAGGGTTCAGGGTTGAGGGTTTTCTTCTTCTATACCCGGGGTTTTGAAAACACATCAAACCTGCTTTTACACGCGAATATGTGAAGCCAAAAAGCTTAATTTTCTCCCCTTGGCTTTCTAACTCGTTGACCAGCAGCCCGGATCGAGACCTACGTACTATCAAATACTCCTGATCTATACTATACTGAACTTAGAACCCTAGCAAAAATTATAATTTGAGCTGTTTCTTAGGGATTATAATAACCAAAAATTAAAAATTATCTAAGTACCCCTAAGTATACCCTGAAGCACCGAAACCTGTGCCTCGAACGGAACATCCACCCAGAGGAGCTCGGTGAAGAAGCCTGGCGAATCTGAGGGTTTAGGCTTTAGGGTTTAGGGTTTAGGGTTTAGGGTTTAGGGTTTAGGCTTTACCCAAAGGCCCCAAAGTAGTTCCTTTTCGGGGTTCATATTTTGCATTCTATAAGGTAACCCCAAAAAGGAACTACTTTGGGGCCTATGGGTAAGAAGCTTAAGGATTAGGGCTTAGAAACTTTGAAAGCTTAGGGTTTAGGGTTGCGCAGTGGAAAGGATGTTAGTGTTAAGGGGTACGAGCCGTGTATAGACGTTTGGCGTTGTGGGATTTGCCGAAAAGAGTGTTTGTACATGCAGATGTAGCAGTACATCCGAACTGAACTATCATGCGAAACGAAAACAATCGATCATAATCATGGTAATAATGAACATCGTCATCATCACCAGCAGCAGCGGTGCCAGTAGTGGCAGCATTGCTGCCTATCTTCGCCTCCTCTGCGTCTCGCTTGGCTTTGAGATGCGCGGCCTTCTTCTGATTCTGGCTCAATTTGTGAAGCTTGCGGAGCTGAGCCTTACACCACAAAGCATGGTTCCGCCTGGAACTGACTTGCATTTTGTCTATGTATATGTTGAACCAACAAAGTTAAGCCTGCATTCCCACACTGGGACGCAAGCGAGATTGTTCGCGCCAGTTGAGAATGCCATCTCGGATAAACGGAGCTTGATCCACTCATCATTACACTTGTTTTCCAGGATGTCATCAAATCCACGACTTTGTCGATAGAATATTGCATAATTAACCCCACTGGGTTTGTATATTAAAGGGCTACATATTATATCGTCTGACAGTGGTTTGCATTGTTTAATGCCCCATTGACTTGTAAATGTTTTAGAATACCCAAAGAAAGCACCAAGATAAACTCGAGCAGTGCTGATGCCCAAACAGGCATACGGATGGCTTCAGAATCGAGGTGTTGTGTCAAGTATAATAAAGGCTAGGTTCCTGAGTAGCCCCTCTCTAACAATAGTATCGCTTCTTCCCTACTATTTCGGTTCCCTAAACCCTAAACCTTGAACCCTAAACCTTACACCCGCCCTAAACCCTAAACCTTAAACCCGAAAGCGGAACCCTAAAACAAAAAGGGCAAAAAGGTACTACTCCCAAAGGCTCCATGTACCTTTATGGTAGATACTTAAGCCTCAAAGGGATGCGTATACAGGTACTTTAAGGCACCTCCTATATGGGTGGTTGTCAAAATTAGGGTCCCTTTTTGAGTCCCTATTATAATACGGCACCTCATACTTAGGGTACCCAAAAAGGGGACCCTAATTTTGATAACCCCCCATATGGGTACATGGAGCCTTTCTGACTCAGGAGCCTCATAGGGCTCAGGAATGGGAGTTAGGATCAGGGGGACCCTAGGGGTTTAGGGTTTAGGGTTTAGGGGTTTAGGGTTTAGGGTTTAGGGTTTAGGGAGTTAGGATCAGGGGGACCCTTGGGGATATAGACCCTCTCAATAAGGCCCCTTTAAAGAGAGCCAGAAGTAGGGTTCAGAAGGGCTACCCTTTAAGGGGTCTCCCTAATAATACTACCTAAGGAAGATCTTTGGGCTTTCGGGCCATGCTTCGGGCAATGTAGGGATGTAGGGGCCTTAGTATATTTTAGTAGGGTTCGGAGGTTAGGGTTCAGGGTTTAGGGTTTAGAGTAATTAGGGCTTGGGTGTATATTATGCCCTAGTTATATCCATAGTTAGAGTAGGGTTTGGGCTTATACCATAGATACAGTAAGTAAACGCCCTATTCTAATTACTAAGCCCCCTGCGTTAAGGGGTTTTGGAGTGTCTCCGGTTGACTGACCCCCGGAACGCAATACCTACACACTATCCTAGATGAATCCGACGTCCGGGTCCGGTTAAACTCGAAATTCTAAAGCCTTGCCCTTCCTACTAGAAACCGCCCAGCCCAATCCCAACGCCTCACCCCTAGCAGAAGGGTTCAAACCGCTTCAGCCTAGACCTTACCTTACCTCAACCTGCCATTTTCCAGGGGTCTGGTGTGTTCTGCGCTGGGATGCTCATGGGTCGGAAAGGTGGCGCTTGAATTCACGGTAGAAGCCTTGGAAATTAAAACAGAAACAAACCACAAAGTAAACCCTCAACCCTACTAAACCCCTAAACCCTAAACCCTAAACCGCTAACCCCTAAACCCTCAACCGAGTAGACCACGAAGCGCAAATCCAGGTCCAGGCTCTGAGATCCGAACACAAAACGAAACCCAACTGCCTACAGCTTACCCATAGGGGGTTTAGGGTTTAGGGTTTAGGGTTTAGGGTTTAGGGTTTAGGGTTTAGGGTAGTTCGGGATTACCTTGTAGAATTCTAGATATGAACCCCGGAAAGGAACTACTTTGGGGGCTTTTGGGTAACGTACGTACCAAATGGTCTTGGGTTTAGTATAGCTGGCTGAGTCGTTAGACCAGGGTCAGGGTGTCTTTTGTTCGGAAGTTAGTACAAGGAGCTGTAAGGAATATGGGTTTAGGGTCTAGGGGTTTAGGGTTTAGGGATTGAGGGGTTTAGGGATTTAGGGGTTTAGGGTTTAGGGGGTCCATTATTTAGGCCCCTATCTTAGTACCAAACCCTGAGCCCAAAAACGACGAGGCTAGGAGCTCTAAAACAAAGCCCAAGTGCTGCACTCCAAATACAAACGTAGGGGCCTGAATCATTACAACTAGGATAGGGTTTGGGGGTATACTATATAATATACTTGTAATAAGGAACACCCAAAACCCTATCTCAATGATGAAGGCACCTACATTACCCCCCCATAACGCCCAATCACTGAAAGAGTATACCATGAAATCAAACGCCCAAATCCTGAGCCAGTCCTGACAAAACATTTAATATCTCGAATCCCTACAACTATGAAAACGAAGCCATGTATCCAAGACCAGAAACCCAGAAACCTGAACCCTAAATCCCATCTAAACCCTGAGCCTTTGAGCCTAAAATCCTCAAACCCTAACCCCAAAACCGAAAAGCCTAAAACCCTAATCAATAAACCCCATACAACCCTTAAGCCCCAATCCTGCAACCCCACATACATATATATATATATATGTATATATATATAATATGTATTATGACCCTTGAGCCCTGAAAACATCCTAAAATCCTTATCCCTAAACCCCTGAAAAGCCCTCAAATCCAACCTAAGACCCTAAACGCTAGACTTCTAAAATCCTACACCCGAAAACCAGAAAACCCTAAACTCTAAAATCCTATACCCGAAGACCCTAATCGCAGAACTTTAAAACCCTAAGCCCTACACCGTGATGACCCCTAGACTATGGGGATGTATGGTGCATTCCTGATTATGGGTAACGCACGATATGTATGTGTATATATATATATATATATATATATATATATATCATCAACCCTAGGCCCTAGGAAGCGTAACCTCAAAACCTTGTTCTAAGTATTAAGGCCCCAAATATCGGACCCTATGATAGATCCCCCTTAAAGACTTCTCTAAAGACCCCTTTAAGGGGAACCCTCATTCGGCGTGGCCCCACAATCCCAAAACCTTAATCCCTAAACCCCGTATAAACCCTCCAATCCACCGAGGATGCTTAACTCCTGAAAGCATCCTAAAACCCTAACTATGTGTTCCCTGAACCCCATATTATGGATCCCTTATAGACCCCTCTACAGACCCCTTTAAAGGGAACCCTCCATTAAACGTAAACCGCGCAATCCCTGAACCCGCTATTATAGATCCCTGCATTATAGACCCCTCTATAGAGACCCTTTCAAAGGGAAACCATATTATGGATCCCTTGTAGACCCCTTTTAAAGACCCCTTTAAAGGGAATTTCTCTGTTAGGGTTTAGACCCCTAGGATGCCTCTTAGATCCCTTAACCCGAAACCCTAAACCCTAAACCCTAAACCCGAAACCCTAAACCGTGCCTCTTCGCTTCGCGAGCTCAATCCGCCGTCGCAGCCACGAGGCGTTGGACCCGGAGGAGTCGAAGATGAGATCACGGAACCTCCAGGTTTGGGGCAGATGGGAGTTTCCGAAATTAGGTGACCCTAATATATGACCCCTTAATAGGGGTTTTGGGTTGAAGGGGATTGCGGAACCTCCAAGTTCAGGGCTTATAGGGCATAGGGTTGTTTCAAAGGGCCTAAGGTCTTTTTAAAGCGCTTGGGGTCTTTTTAAAGGGCTTATAGAGTATAGGGCTTAGGCACGGAACCTCCAGCTTCAGGGCTCATAGGGCTTAGGGTCGTTTTAAAGGGCTTAGGGTTTAGGGTTTAGGTTTTAGGATTAAGGCTTTTTGGGTTTAGGGTTTAGGGCTCATAGGGTTTAGGGCTTAGCGATTTAGGGCCTATAGGGCTTAGGTTCTCGGATTTGAAGCTTTTGGGTTTTAAAGGGTTTAGGGTCTTGGGCGCGGAAGCTCCAGGTTCAGGGTTTGGGGTGTATAGGGTTTAGGGTATAGGGTTTAGGGTCTGTGGGCTTTAGGGCTTAGTGTAGGTTTTGGTCACGGAACCTCCAGGTGGTATATACTACTCTAATTAGTACCACATATACTAGTATTGTTTCGTATAGTACATTGTATGATAGTGGGAAGATCTACCATGGAGTGCCTCAACAACTCGAGAAAGGCTGTAGGTGCATATCATAAGTGTCAAAATAGGGACGACAACGGAACGAGATTGCTGATTCTTCAGGCTTCTAGATTGGCGTTTTGGGTTCGGGCGTTCGTGATTATTAGGGTAAGTATACCTATAACTACTTATAACCCCAATTTCAAATGCTAACAGTTTGGGGATCCAGACCGAAAGCCTGGGTTGTGTGAGGGGTTCACAAGCCTAAGGGTTCTGACACGGCTTGGGGGGGTTACCTGTGCCCACAAAAAAACCTCCCTATTTGAGAGATGGAAATATATGGAACCCAATATTATATGCAAAACATGCCTAGAATGGTAGGGTTTTGAGGCTGGTATCCGTAAACCTCTACACTACAGCTTACGAAAGGGTTCATTTCGCTCATGACACAGCTGCTTCCCTGTCTCAGCACTTAGGTTTTGGGATTGAGATTTTGTGGTTTAGGTTTACGGTCCTAAGCCTGCTAAGGTGTCGGGCATATAGGCTAGGATGCCCAGTAGCCTAAAAGGTATTTAATAAGGAACCCAGGACTACCAAAACGGGAATAAGGGTAACGCTTTAGGTTTTTTTTGAGGGCTCTTTTCCGACTGCCGAACGGTTTAGGGTTCAGGGTTTAGGGTTATCCTAGTAGGAAATTGCCAAAATGGTAGCAGCTGACGGTGGAATGATGGGATCAGCCTTGAGGTTTCCATGGTTCAGCCTCCAGGTTTGCAGCTGCCTTACACGGTTCCAGCTTCGCCCTTCACAGTCTTGGGGTTTATAGGGTTTAGGGCTTACAGTAGGGGTTAGGGTTTAAAAGTTTGTTAGGGCTTAGGGTTTAGGGTTTACAGTAGGGTTCGGGTTTAGGGCTTAGGGTTTAGGGCTTAGGGTTTAGGGCCTAGGGTTTGGGGTTTAGGGCGATTTATCGACCTAAGCAGGAGCAGAAGCTTAGACTGGCTTTTAAGCACAGGAGTCGAATGTCCTCTCAAGAGGGCTGTGGGGTCTACTAAAAGGATCATGGGACTTAGTAACTAAGGTTATTATTTGGGTAACTATACTTAAAACTGCTCATCACCCCAACTAGGGTACTTATAACCCTACTTACTAAGTCCCATGACCCTCCAAGTATTGCAGATTCTCAAGAACATGCATACCTTCGACCGTAAACCTCAAAGTCTGAGTCTGAACCTTGCGCTCGAAACCATAAAATTAACCCGCGAGCTCTCAAATGTTAAAGTGCACTTACATGAAGCCGGGCTTTTTTGCTAGCAACCCCCCAGCTCCATAACACTTGACATAATCCCTACCTTAAGTAACCCCTACGGTAGATAAACCTTCGCCTAAGAAACCTGATCTCACAGCAGGATTTAAGCATCGAAGCCTTTAAACTGCTGGAAGTGGGGGCTCAAGGACTGATTAGTGCCTATAGGGTCTAGAGCTGCTTCGGATTTTCTGATGGCGTCCTAGCTCAGGGCTTCAGGTTTTATAGTTATATCGTCCTATATACTCCTAAATGCTCAGCCGCGTGCTTGAGGTTACCTCTGAATTATTTCCAAGTCGGCGAGTCGGCCAGGGTTACAGCACATGACTCCAGGAATTCCCATAGTGTCAGATGAACATTAAGAACAACTTAAGTGAATCTTAAGACTTTCGAGTCTTGCAGGAAAAAACAGCCGGTTCTCCATCTTAGAAGGCACTGAACCCGTCCCTTGCCCGCCTGCCGTCCCTAACCGCATCCTCGAAGTCGTCCACGGCGCGTCTGAGAGGTTAAAGGTGTAGGGATCATAGGGTTTAGGGTAGTTGTCGGAACACTAACAACAACAATACACATAGTCATAACAACAATAATTCTAATAATAACTATAATAATAACAACGATACTATGGCTAATAATACAAAATGATAGTAATAATGGTAAGGTGCCCAGAAGCACATGGAGCTTTCGGAGACGTACGGGTGTGTATTGGAGTGATCAGACGGTACGGTGTATCTGGAGTCCGGTCACTACATGGCCTACTACCCTTGGGCTAGAAGCCTGAAGCCTCAGGTGATTTCTTTTGAGTATCGTCGCCTTCAAACCCTAAATCCTAAACCCAAGCTTAAATCAAAACATAGGTTTTGCCGGCTACGACGAGGAATTAGGGCTAGAAGCCTGAAGCCTCAAGCCTAGAGAGCCGGTACTTTTGGGAGTTCGTGCTCTTCGGAGGATTGCTTCAGGGCCTGGGGCTCAAAGATTTCAGGGCTTCAGGGATTGTTTCATCAACCGAAGGATGCAAGTGCCCTAACCCCAAAACCCTGCACCCTACGCCCTACACCCTAAGCACTAAACCCCAAAATTCCCAAGCCCCAAGCCTTCTAAAGAACGAGCCCTCCCAGAGACTCCAAAACCCCTTAATTCAGGAATATACCTTACATCATATTAGGATCCCTACTATAACTTAAGGTATATATTCCTTAATTAAGGGGTTTTTGGAGTCTCTTGGCTCGGCTGACTCTTCGACCCAAGCTCCCCCTTCCCACGCCCAGCGCTAGGCTGAAAGCCCAAAGCGCACTCACAAGAAAAGGCAAAGACCTTAGAAGCTGCCCCCACCCTGTAGTGACCATAAGGCTATGATAAGGAGTATATTAGGGCCCTATTATATTCCTATTCTACCACTGTTATACAGGGTGGGGGCAGCTTCTAACAAAGACCTTTAACCCTTTACAAACTCTGACGAAGTCGAGGATCTAGAACTGCACACTCAAACCCCGACCTCTTGATGACAACCTGTACATGTATAAGAGATCAGACAGCCACCAAACAAGTAGTCGGCCTCACACTCCACCGGTGGACTTCCTCATCCGTCTCCTCTCGGAATCCAGGACTAAGCTGTAAAGCGTGTCTTTCCGGGTGCATGCGGATTCAATACGGTGGTTTTATGAGGGTGTTAGGCGGGTATAGAGTTAAGAATATTTGCCTGCGGTTCTACTTTCAGGTTCATGGGTCGTTGTAAGTAGGGTTTTAAAAGCGCTCTAGTATGGACCATAAGTCTAGCTATAGATCCCTTATAGGAGCCCTACTTACAAGCTCCACTTTATACTACCCATGAACCTCCAAGAAATGTCCTACGACTCCAGAGGGGCTCGAACTTTGCATTGATTGCTTCTGGAGTCCCATCCAGTGCCCCGTAAAACATCTGAGACTAAACGATACTCTGTTGGCTTCTGTCAGTTTGTGGTATTCTGTAGCACAGCACAGCATAGTAAAGAAAAGTATAGGATACTATAATACAGCACTGTATAGTATAGTATAGCATAGTATGAAAAACCCTGCCACTCTCAAATCTTGATAAAACTCTTGAACCTTATCGAAAAGGTTATCGACCTCTGAACACTGAAACTAGGGGTCCGAAGACCTAAAAATTGCATACTCCCCCTCCCACCTAAACAGTAAGCTCTATTTCTACTATCCCTTTGCACTAAGCCCTACTTCGTAAATACCTTGGAGAATATGAGCCGATACCGCGCCCCACTCAGTAACCAGTTGGATTCTATATGCATACTACGGATACTTAAGGTCCACTTCATGGTAGACCTATTACAGACGGTTACTCTATGAAGGCTGTACCCAAGATAGAACCCTTACTTCATCGTCCTCATCCATGTCGCGAGAATAGCGCGGATGTCTGCCTCGGACGAGGAGGCGGCAGCCGTCGGCACTGAGGATTTCTCTATGTTTGCAGCTCATTCCCAGAGACTCCCAAACCGCTTAATAAGGGAATATACCTTGCATCTGGTCAGGGTTCGTACGATAACGTAAGGTATAGGCTCGGCATCGATATCTCCGGCACCTTGACGACCCAGAGAGAACAACAGCCTTTAAGCAAGAAGCACCGAACAAGTATAAACATCTTCACCCTAAACCCGACATCCTAAACCCCAATCCCTGAACCTTAAACCATGACGGGGCATTGGGCTCTCCGAAGTTGCTTATAGTCTGGTTCTGAAGCTCGCGCACCATGAGAACGAACGGAGTATAAGGGTCCAAGTACCTAATAGTCATATACTAGCTACTTCCTAAGTAACGGCTTAATACTAAGGGTAACCTTGTTCCTAATAGTCAGTTGAAGCCCAAATAATCATATACCCAGAGGCTCCACCTATGCTAACATTCTGGAATGAGGGCCTCAAAACCACAACAAGAATGGCCTGATTGCATAATGGTAGTATATGCGGAGCCTCCAGAATACTCTCTCAAACTCAAATAGTCACCTACGTAACTACTATCCCAAACCTCAGTACCTAAAAATTGGGTACTTTGGAATCTTAGAGTTCATAAACAGAAACCTAATGCCTGGTTTGGTCCACTGTCCTAAACCCCAAACCCCCAAACCCTCAGACCCTAAGAATTCGCAGGATCTTTAAAGGTTGAGGGCAATTCAAATGCCTTGTCGACCCACCATTCTAGAACTAGAACCGTTGCCCAGTGCACAAACTCAAAGCTTGGGTCCCTGCCTGGCATTCCTGGCTTGACTGATACGTAGCCATTTTTTGGTAACGGTATACATACGATCAGTTGGGGAGCGCATTACCCGGGTATTACCCCACCCTACGCCCAATATAGCCACTCTTAGCACCCTAGAAGGCATGCAACTTGTGCGAATCAAAACATTCATGGAATGAGCATGTGAAATGGACCCTGTTTCCCAGGTTGGCCCTGTAAAGCCTCTGAAAGACTTTCGTAAATAGGATCCTCTTAAGCCCAAAAATGGCAACAATAAACTATCCCAAACGCCTACGTAGTTTCCTGAACGGACAGAGCTCCCGGGCATTTGATTTTGTCCGGCTCGATGTCTAACGTGTCGGGCCCCAGCCGTTGCCTCTTCACCTGCACTCCCGAAGGATCTTAGACATTTCTTACACAACTCCCTCAAGCCCCTAAACCCTGAACTCTAAAGACTCTTATAGATAGAGCCAAACGGAGAAGGCTTCCTGAAATGAGGGCATCCATTCTCGCGATGTAAGTTCAACTGTCGTTCTAAATGTCGGCCCACTGGGGATCCGAATCCCCACTCAAGATCCGAATCGGTCGCGCTTCTTGACGTAAAGGGCGCCCTTTTAGAGGAACCGTATGGTACCCACAAGCCCTTAAAGGAACCCCGGCTGACTCCCGGGGGTGAGGCAGCTTGATATCTGGCCGCATTACAGGTTTAGGGTTTAGGCTTCTAGACATGCATCAGGGAAAGAGCCTCCTTGCCCCATCTCCAGTGAGCTGGGTCATCGATGTGGGGCGAAACTCCCAACTAATTAGGGCCCGCCAATCGGAGATAGGATTAAGGGGCCCCCTTGGGGATGTAGACCCTCTCAATAAAGCTTACCCAAAGGGTCCTATGTACCGATATAGTAGAATGTAGGGTTTCCATATTAGGAATTAAAGGAATTAGCATTATGACTTAGGGAAGTATCCCCCATAACAGTACAAAGGACCCTTTGGGTTAAGAAGGGTCCCCTTGCAGCTGAAAGGTCTCAGGTTTCCGGCTTCGAATCCTGGTCTTTGTGAGGTTTTGCTCCGGCGCTCCAAAACCTAGACCTCATGTTAGCTGCTACGGAACGAAGCCCCCATTGCCGAGTCAAGAACCCTGAACCCGAGGCCTTAGTATAGTCAAAAAACAAATAAGCTAACGAACAACGAGAGCCAGCAAAAGCCTGAGCCCGAGACTCAGCAAAACAGGGACTCAAAGAAATGCCTAAACCCTGAATTAAAGATTGAGAGCTGAGTCCGCCACGGTGCTCTTCCCTGCGCCGGGTAGTCCCATCAAGAAAAGAGCTCGCGGTCGGCAGTCGGCTCCTGGCGGATTCTTGAATAAAGCAAAAGCCAGAAAGTTGGAACACCATTATCCTCATGCCCTTAAAGTATAGGGAAGCCCAGCACTAATCATCCTAAATCCGTGTTCCAATTTTCTGGGGCTCCCTGTAGAGGCACCTTAAAGCAAGTAATTCGAATCGGTGTTTGGGGTACTCAAATCCTCAACCTTCTGGTATGGAGGAGGCCTGAATAATTAGACGAAAGGCAGTGCTCTCATTGTCATACAGCTGGAAAAAAGCCAAGGAAATACAGTACAACCAAGCCTTTGAACCCTAAACCCCAAGCCCTAAATCCTAAACCCAAACCCTAAACCATCCCAAACCCGTAAACCCTAAGCCCTAAACCCCAAATGCTTAACAGCCCCACTACCCTCCCACCGCTCCGTGGCAACCGGCGGCTGGAAGCCTGGGGGCGATCGGGTTCTTGCTTGGAAAACCAGAGACTCCAATATCCCTTTGAAGGGATCCTTCATTAACGGGCTTTAAGGGTTCCTTAACGGGGTCCTCGAAGGGTTCCTTTGAGGGATCTATTAAGGGCTCCTTTAAGGGATCTATAGGGTTTAGGGGTTAGGGGTCACCAATATACCTCAATAAAGGAATTTACCTTACATTATAGTAGGATCCCTAAAATGATTTGAGGAATATTCCTTGGTTCCGGAATATCGGTACTGGGAGGATCACGGGACTTAGTAGGGCTTCAGGCTTTCGTTAAGGGATCTATAGGGGTGCTATAAGGGTGTAGCGCTTAGGCGTTTAGGGGGACCGGGCTCAGGGGGTCTCGGCCTTAGGGTCTAGGGCTTTAGGGGTTTGGGCTTGAGGGTTTGGTGTTTAGAGGTTTAAGGTTTTAAGAGTTGTAGGTTGTAGGGTTTTAGGGTCTAGTGCTTTAGAGGTTTAAGGGATTAGGGGTTCAGGGCTTTGGGTTCTTGGGTTAAAGTCAAGGGTTTTGTGGGGTTCCTTGGGTTCTTGGGGTAGCGGCTCATGTCTTGAGGCTTGCATGTTCAGGGTGTGGGCTTTGAGTTTTGCGAGATATTCAATCGAGTGTTTGGGGTGTAAGTCTCGAGATCCCAAACCATGTTTTGAACTGGCGCTGTACTCCAGAATCAGTTCGTACACTTCGGTCCCACCTCTGAAAAAAAGGGGTTTTGGAGATCAGAATAAAGTCAAGTAGTTCTCGGTGCACATTGTAATATAACATAGCTATACAGGGACAGCAAAGAGTACTCTCACTACCTATTGCGACCCTACATAATATATGGTCATCCAGGTGCCTGAAAATTTCATATGGAGATATACCCAAGCTCAGTGCCCAAGATAATGATCACCACAGATCCAGGACCATAAATGGTGAAATCCGAAATCATCAAGCAACCCCGCGATCCGGAAGGCCTAGGCCCTTTAATCCTGAAAGACCAGAAGCCGGCTTAGCTGAAGAATGTATACTACTAGGTTTAGCTTAGGGTTCTTTAAACAAGGCTCCTTAAAACCCTTAAAGGGTTCTCTAAGGCACCTATAAGGTTTAGGCTGTAGGGGGCTCCTGGTATACGTGATTCGGATCTAGCAGTCGTTTCTTATGCTTTAAGGGAGTTCGGGTCTTGGTTTTCAATTTGTAATGGCTCGGGCGCGAACGTGAAAAGCCTCGGGTTTAGCGGTTGAGTGGTGTTGAGTCGAGGGGTCTGAAATTTCGGGGTTAGGGGTTGTCAAGGGTGTGGTTTGCGATTTGGGGATTTGGCCAGGATGTCGTGGTTATGGTGGGTTCAGAGACTCGGGTGGGTTGAGGGTTCGTCGTCGATTAAGTTGGGATTGGGCTGTGCAGGCGTGAAGTTGAGAGCAGCTGGAACACCCCAGACCTTCCAAAATCCCTTAATTAAGGAATATGTCTTAAATCATATTAGGGATCCTACTATAGTTTACGGTATATTCCTTAATTAAGGGATTTTGGAAGGTCTGGGACCGAGACGGGTGTGAATTGAAGCAGAACTCTGGGCAGTTGTTTTGTGCAAGCTAACACCCTGCCACAAGCCCTTTACCAGAATTGAACTCTGAACACCCTAAACCCCAAACCCTACACCCTACACCCCTAAACCCCAAACTCTAAACATCTCCCCTTCTAAACCCTGAACCCCTAAACCCTAAAACCCTAAACCAGAACATCTCCTCTTCTCCTAAACTGAAGCGAGCTGCGGGCGCTGCGAATAGCAGCAGCGAGCGTGCCGAAGCGTCAGTGAGGCTGGCTCCGGAGCTGGCGCGACAGGCGCAGCGGAGGAGCCCCAGCACCGGCTCAGGTGCTGGCGCATGCGACAGGCATGCTAGCCAATCAGAACTATATGACCCTAAACCTCCAACCTTGGGCCCCTGTGTCCCTGCTTGCTGCCTTGCCCTGCCCCCTGTTCTGCCCTGCCCTCCCTGGCCTGGCTGCCTACCCTGCCCTGGCCCTGCCATGGGCCCTGGCCTTGCCCTGGCCCTGATCCCTGAGCCTGGGCCTGGCCCGACCTGGGCCCTACCTGCCTGCCCTGCCCTGCCCTGTCCTTCCCTGCCCTGGCTGCCCTGCCCTCCTGCTCTCCCTGCCCTGCTCTGCCCTGTTTTGCCCTGCCCCTCCCACTGCCTCTGCCTGCCCTGCTTGGCCTGCTTTTGGGCCACCGCCAGACCAAGCCACAAACCTTGTCCCGGGCCCCCCCCGGCACAGTTGTCCCAGGGCCCCCCCGGGACAGTTGTCCCAGGGCCTTTCCGGGGAGTCGCGGGCCCCCCCCGGGACAATTGTTTCGGGCCCCCCCCGGACAGGCCCCCCCCGGGACGCCCCGGGACACCCCCAGGACACTGTCCCGGGGCCGCCCCGGGACGCCAATTTAGCATATTTGAGTGACTGCGCGTTTTTGTTTTCTTGCTTTTTGCTCGGTTTTGCTTCATTTTTCAAAAACTCACGCGGGCACCGACAGGTCATCAGCTGCATTTGCACGAAACCGCTTTATGAGTAGCCTGAAACGGGCAGGATATTGATCTACCTTCGCAGCTTCCGAGTGTCATACCCTGCTCACTTAAACCGGCCACGCTTCGCCTACGTCATAACCTGGTCACAGATAGCACCGGCCGCGCTTCACGCACATGAAACATACGGCACTATTTTGCTGCGGCTTCGGCCACTTTGGGCACACAGAAAAGCACAGGTCGTTTTGCTGCAGAATGTAACCGCAACCCAAGCGATATGAAGAAAAACCCTAAACCCGACAAAGGTCATAGACTGGGTGGGCGGGTAGGGCGAGAGCGTTGAACCTAGGCGCACACCACAACACACGTCTCGCGTGGTGGTGTGCGCGGAGCATCGACACGCCCTAAACCCTAAACCCCTAAACCCTAAAACCCTAAACCCTGGAACCCCTAAACCTTCATCTCCTGCTCCCCCAAAACCCTAAAACCCCAAAGGGTCCTATGTACTCTTATGGGGGATACTTCCCTAAGTCCGAATAGTAACTCCTAATATGGAAACCCTTCATTCTACTATATCGGTACATAGGACCTTTTGGGAACAGAAAACATCCGAGGCCCCGTCAGACGTTGAGGCAGCGGCGGAGGCCGCGGAGGCCTGGCGCTGGTTTTGACAAAACTCGGAAGTCTAGGGTTCAGGGTTTAGGGGTTGAGAATTTAGGGAGTTTAGGGTTTAGGGTTTAGGGATTTAGGGAGTTTAGGGTTTAGGGTTTAGGGATTTAGGGAGTTTAGGGTTTGGGGGGTTTAGGGTTTAAGGTTTGGGTTGAGGGTTTAGGATTTTAGGGTTTAGGGTTTAAGGGTTTAGGGGTTTAGGGTTTAGGGTTTAGGGTTTAGGGAGTTTAGGGTTTGGGGGTTTAGGGTTTAGGGAGTTTAGGGAGTTTAGGGAGTTTAGGGAGTTTAGGGAATTTAGGAGTTTAGGGAGTTTAGGGGTTTAGGAGTTTTAGGCGTTGGGGTTTAGGGTTTACGGTTTAGGAGTTTGGGGTTTAGGGTTACTTTGAATTAAGAGCAGCTTCCCCTAGGCCCTTAACCCCCTGGCCACTTGGTCGTGAGCGAGCGGTTGGAGCATGGCTGGGCTAAGAGATTCTGGTCCAGCATCGGAAGATGAGAAGTACTTGTTGGGTGTTTAGCGCACGGTATGATTTCAATAGGTTTACATACCCAAACCCATTCTGGGCCCAACCCTTCCCGACAGGAGAGCCTGATTTTCCTGCTATCATTGTTCATCTTTCTGTCCTTCGTCTTTCCGCCGTCTGGTGTCTGGAGCTGCCATATGCCCGCTCATGACAATCGCAGCGTTGGGTTGTGCTGCCTCCACCCTAAACCCTAAACCCCAAACCCTAAATCCTAAACCCTAAACCCTAATCATCTTATCTGGCCAAACCTTTGTGCGATTTGGTCGCGTCTCTTGGCCGTTGGACGAATAAGTCTGAACAGTAGGCATCCCCCTCCTAGTGAACTCTTCAACCCAAGGTCCTGGCCTTCCACCTGGTGAGATCATGAGTGTTTTCCGTGTGCCGGTACCGCCTACTCCAATGATGACCCTAGCCCCGCAAGCACGGAACAACCTGTAGTCTGCCTCCATTCTGGCCTTTTGCGTTGGCCCGTGGGTGGATGTAGCGGCTTTCGCCGAATGTTCGAGAACTCTTGCTTAACCTTCTTGCAAAAGCGGTCGATTCACCGTAATGTAGTCGCTAGATGTCCGGTCTTCAGACCCCGATCGGACGCGGTGTGATAGCCAGAATGTGACAACATTGCCACAGATCGCAACTAGACCCTCGAGTGAATCCAGTGAATACTTTGAGGGTATAGGGTTGCAAGCCACGAGTTGTCTCTAGCAGTTACAGCAACTCACATATTTATATAGCGATTTAGGGTTTAGGGTAAGGGCTCAACCGGACCAATCATCATACAAAGAAACTGCCACTGAGTCACAGGGTCCTGGCCGGCCTCTCCAAAGCTGCACAGCCATTATTTAGGGACCCAAAAAGCACATAAGCATAAGCATTTTATGGGGATATCCCTACCTTATTGGGCTTCATTATACGGAGGTTTATATGGGATATCCCTATCCTTGTTTTTGCTTATGCGCTTTTGGGGGCCCTAATGATAAAGGCACAGTCCGATACGTGACTTGAGGATTGCAGGACCTATAAACCCTAAACTCTGGGGTCCGTGGCGGGGTTTCGGGTCGTAGGGGTCGAGCTCAGAGTTTATGCCTTGAGGTTTAGGAAGTTCCCTAGACCCTAAACCCCAAACCGTCATAAAGCCTTTCTGCCTACAAAGGCCTTAAGCCTAACAGCAGAGTGTGGCACGTAGAACACCACAAAATGCAACAAGGATTCCTGACTCCAATATATTTGCTTCTTGTGCTGATGCGCGACCATCAAACACGAATTATTTGTACTCCCTGACTACCTAAACCCTAAACTTGCTAAACCCCAAACCCCAAAAGCTCTTGGTAATACCCATCGCAGATTTCGAAAGCCTCTCGGGCGCTCGACTTCTTTCGCGCCTCTGCGGCTGGGCAGTAAGCGTACCTTAACCTACCGAAACCTACTTTTTTGTAGGGTCACTATAAATTCGTATTAGGGTTTTTACTAAGAACCTATAAAAAGTAGGGTTTGGTAGGTTAAGGTAGAAAAATGAAAAATGGAATGGGATTACAGGATTTACAGTGCTTAGGAGTTAGCGGTTTAGGGTTTAGGGCTGTGGTGGTTGAGGGAGTTCGGGCGTATAGGTTTCGGGTTCAAGGTGGTGGAAGTAATACATGACAAAGATCAACCCTAAACCCTAAACCCCAAACCCCAAACCCAAAACCCTAAACCCTAAACCGTTCAACCCTTCAAAACACTTCAAACCCAACCCCGTCAAAATGCAGAGTCGACCCCCAAGTTGCCTTTATAAGGCACACTAACCCCTTAAACCCCAATGCCCTGAAGCCAAAACCTCTAAACCCTCCAACCCAACACCCGAAGCCCAATACCCTGAACGGAGTCTTAAGATGCCACATGGGTGGTTCTCAGTATGTGGGTCCCTCTTTGGGTCCTTACTTTAATACGGCACCTAATATCTAGGGTACCCAAAGAGGGACCCTAATGTTGACAACCACCCACATGAAAACTGGCTCAATGACACCACCCAGTACACATCAACCTTTAGGGATTTTTTTGGGGGGGATTATAGCGTTCTTGAAGCCCCTCTATTCCGAGATGAAGCCATACATTCTCAAAGCCGAATTCTGGGCAATTTCAGGAACTAAGGTTGAGGTGGGCTTATAGAGCAAGTAAGACGGTTTCGGTCAGGGTTTAGGGTTTCGGCTTTCGGGCTCAGGCACCAGAATGGGATACAGACCAAGCAAGGTGGTTTTAGCATGATGCTATCTTACATACCCTAAACCCTAAATCCGAAACTCTTAGCCCTAACCCTAAACTCTGAACCCTAAACCCTAAATCCGAAACCCTGAACCCTAACCCCCAAACCCTACTACCCTAACAACGAAAACCCTAAACCACAAAAATAGAAATGGGAGTTTCCGAAAATGGGGAACCCTAATATACTACCCTAAATAATTAGATCCTTATTATAAGGACCCCAAAATAAGGTACCCCCTATTTTTGGAAACTCCCAAATCGACAAAGGCCACTGGCTCGCCTGCCCCTCGGGAGCAGCGAGTGCCGGGAGAAGGCCTGCCCAGTGTCTTTCCCACCAAAAGTGTCCAAGGGTAAAAGGAGGGACCCTTAATAAGCTCCCTAGGTATATACCCTTAATATAGCTATTATATACCCATTTTATAGCCCATTATGGGGTAGGGGTCCCCATTAAGGGTCCCTCCTTTTCTTTTCCCCACGAATCCTGGATCAAGGAATACTGTACCCAAAGGCCTCAAAGTAGTTCCTTTTTAAAGATCGATATTTAGAATTCTATAGGGTAATCCCAAAAAATGAACTTCTTTGCGGCCTATGGGTATACTTCCCACGGAACCCAAGAACCCTTGATTAGGTACTGCCCCCATACAGTAAGAGTCTATGAAAGAGCTCCTATGAAGGTCCTAATATCGGAATACTGTATACTTCTTCACAACCAGAGGCGTGCAAGCAAGAAATCAAGGTATAGTACGGCTCTGCAGTTCTAGAAGGGCCTAGTAGAGTCAATCTGTTGCGAGATTAAACAGTAGTTGGCTTGTCCGAGAAGTTTATTGGATCAAGCGGTAAGGCAAACAGAGATTCCACAAATCAGGGTACCAGTGTCCTTTTTCAGGATCCTACGATTTAAGTCATATCTATACCCCTGATCTCAACCTGGACCCACGCTCAGCGCCTAGCCTAAACTTGCTAAACCAGAACCACGAAACCCCGTCGTCTTCAAGTTCGATGACTCGGACCGATATTCTGAGGGTCTAGATCCGCACCCCTGGTTCTCCGATCATCTTCTCTTTCTCTATGTGACTTCTGAGTTGTACATTCGGACAGAACAGGTGTTGAGTTGTTGAGCTCGAAGTCGAGGCGGAGGTGGTAGACGAAGTAGATGCTGCAGGAGTCCGTGGCGAGTTCGGCGCGCAAGTAGCATCGCACTCCATCGGAATGAGAATCGGGAGGTCCCTCGGAAGAGGTAACTACTCCCGAACAGGTATCTTTCAATCCTAGCTCTCAGCGTCCTATCTGGTCTTGCTGGATCAACAGGTTACGGGGAAAGATGCATGCATACCTACTACGGGATCTTCATGTGGGTAGTGTTTATGGCCGTCTCTACGACGTCCAGATGGTACTGGCCTGCCACTGTACGCACCTGAACCCCAAACCAGGGTCTTATCGCCATCAGGAAGAATCACGCATGAAAGATATAATTCAGACATGTAACTCTGACACACGATGCTTTCTGCAGGTTTTGACACAATTGCTCACTGGCTTGCTTTGGGATTCGGCGAAGGGTTCTATAGTTACCATAACAAGAACCCCCCGTGACCACACACCCTTGGCACCCTACACTTAGGTGTGTCCTGCCTTTGTCGCTTCAGAGCGCCTCAGGCAGAGTTTGAAGTGATCATGAGGTCCTATGGTATACATCTGAAGAGTTTCACCCGAAAGTTGCATCAAACCATCTGGGATCTGGACATCGCTGATACTGTCAACAGACTAGTTCAGACAAAACAGTGACGATCCTAAACTTTGGTCATTTCTCAGAGTGTCCCTAACCACCTGCTCTTGAAGCCTGCATGACTGCATGCCAACGGATTTAAAGTGCTCCCAGTCACATGTCCGGGCGTGCGACATCTTCGCTGTGAAGACCTGGTCGTGATGTCGGGGTCTTCTACGTGGCATCGCACACCACAAGCCGCCCATCATCGTTCCGGACACAGCTCTGCAAAGTGCCTGGAGTCTTCACAGTCATGCAACAGCACTCAAAGCTTGCAATGTTGATCTCTGGGCTACCGGGCAAGGGCTCCTTTTGCCGTTCCTGTGTCTGCAGACAATGTAGCCAATTACCCTTCTCCAGGACAATACACCCTCCAATACCCAAACTCTTTTGGCCTCACTGTGCCTGAACTGTGCTGGGAGGCCTGATGGCCTATGTTGACTTTGTTGAAAGTACAGAACGTTCCGTATGCTCTGGTTTCAGCACATACATGGGAGGTTCAGAACTCAATCGACCCACATATGCACCATAAGAACAGGATCATTGTCCTTGTCGTGATAAGGATCCCTTGAGGAGCTATCCCCATTTTTTGAAGAGATTGTACGACTCTCATTTGCGAAACACTATGCGGCTACATGCAGCATGTGCTGCTGGAAAACCCACGTCAAGGACAAGTTGGGGGGGGCAGGGCCCAGACCTTCCAAAATCCCTTCATTGAGGATTGTATCTTAAATCACAGTAGGAGCCCTAATATGAATCAAGGTACATTCCTTCATTCCCTTACAGAACCCTTATAGCACCACTTCACAAGAACCCTTAGACATATGGCAGCTTCCGAACATGGGGGACCCTAATATAATACCCCACATAGTAGGATCCTTCTTATTAGGACCCCAAAATGAAGTACCCCTCATTTTCGGAAACTCCCATATTCCTTAATTAAGGGATCTTGGAAGGTCTGGGGACATCGGAGCTGTCCTGGGGGATTTTGTCTATGCGAGACCTCGGCGCATCGCTGCAGAGAGTTGGGCACTTGAAGGATCATGGGACTTAGTAACTATAGGGTTCGTTAAAGGGCTCCTTGAAAGGGATCTATAAGGGTTCTATAAGAGGGGTCTTAGGGTTACTTGAAGGATCATGGGACTTAGCCAATAAGGTTATTATTGGGGAAACTATACTTATAACTACTTATAACCACATAACCATACTTACTAAGTCCCATGATCCTCCAAGCATACGAGTATCCCCATAGACCTGTCTGCGAGTTCTCAGTAGGGCTACCTCCTCACCTAAACCCTAAACCCTAAACCCTGAACCCTCAACCCTATTTCCTGATGTGAACCCTAAAGTTGTCATACTGCTGATGGACAAAATCCTGCATGACGCATTATAAGGAATATACCATAGTTCCCATAGTGTAGAGTCCTCAGGGTCATGCAGGATTTTGTCCATCAGCAGTAGAGTTCCCTTCCAAGAACTTGCAGGATGGGGGAGCCCCTACGGAGTTTCTCACATCGTCAGGGGAAAAATCCTCAGTATACCTACTGTAGGGGCCTTAATGGTTAGAATAGGGTTTTGGGGCCCACTATATTATAGGTATATTAAGGAACCCACACAGTAGTATGGGTAACTATGAAGGCCCCGATATTTCTCATGATCCAAGATTGCGAGAAACTCCGCGTGAAGGCAGCTCAGACGCAGACGAAGGATGAGAAGAAAGCGCACTTTATTACCTGGCCCATTCTTTCCAAATGCCATGGCCTGATATTTGATGACCGAACACAGCCCCGTCCTGCACAGTGACTTGAAACACTCTCGTACAGCTGGTTCTGTGTTCGTGCCGTTACACATGGTTGGCACCATGCCGCCCAACTAAACATACCAGCGGCGACCACCGGAAGTGCGATCGCCCCGGCTCCAAAGGCTGAAGCATGTCAAAGAAATTCATGCTTTCAGCGAAATATCAAGAAACCGGAAATGTAGATCATTTGAACCCTCTGATCATGCTCTCGGCCGCGCCTTGAGGTCACATCAGACCGCCGGAGCTCATCACCTAGCCATTTGGCAGCGGGTGGCTAATGTCGCGGACCGCTAGCCATCGATTCCGGACAGGCGGATGATGGATAGGCTCTGAGCGCTCGCCTCAACATGCAGGGGCAGGTCATGGGGCCAAAAACCTGCTTGCAGGGTAGAAAGACTGTACTCAGCATCTGGTTGACACAACGAAACTGATGAGGTCGCTTGAATGGCTGTTGCTGCAGTACATGTTGCTGCTGATGCTGCAACTGCTGGAATCGTCGTTGCTGCCAGTTAATGCTAGTTCTACAGTAATCACGAGAATGATGTCCCCATTCATCGTCACCCTCCTCGCCTTCTTGGCCGCATGATGACGTCGCAAGTACCACAGCTCGGGCGATTAAGGAGTTGAGACCATCCAACATGGTAACTTAAACCCTAAAGCCCTTAGCCGCTGAACCCAAAACAACCACAACTATGTGGGCACCCGGTGTTTAGGGTGCGAGATTCTACCTTCCTGCATGTTTCCATCGTTGTCCATCGCGCATCGCGTTGTAGTTAGGTTTGTGACATGTGGTCGGGACGTAGCTTTTGGCTTCGAGGCTTCAGTGAACAGGCTTTAATGTAATGATTAGGATTTGATGAGAGGGGCTTTGGCGATCAGTGCTAAGGAATGAAGACCTCGGAATTGGCTAGCATGTTGGCCTGTTCTTTCCCTTGTTAGGGCTTGGAGCCTACTGAGCCGTAGTGAGGTCAACTGGATCAGAGTTCTATCTGCATCTGACAGTGACTTTTCCAACTTAATCCGTGCGTACAATAAGGAAGACCTGCTGCGACCCCGAAACCTATCTCCTAAATCACAACCCGAGCACGTTGAGCTTGCGAGACCCTGGGTCTTGAGTTCAGGGCTCCTGTAAAGTCTCCAAAGCACCCGACGCAAGCGGTTGGCTATCACAGTCATAGTCGTCGCCGCAATCATTGTAGCTGTAGAGGTTTTTTAGAAGCCAAAATTCTCCGGACAACAAAACCGAAGGCAAGAGCCATCTTGGACCCATGAGGATCATACGAACGCTATTCTTACTCGTCCCGGCGAGATGCGGTCTACTACATTCGTAAAGGGATCCCAAAAGCAGTGCTTGCGGAGACAGTTCTTCCTCTAGACCCAAGAGTAACCTGGGAATAAAAAGGGTGCCCTTTTGGTATCAAGGGTGTTATAAGGGAACCTGCACCCTAAACACGGGAATAAGGGCCTACTCTGGGTCCTAGTCCTCAAACCCGAGACTCAGACTCGAAGCCCGCCCCGCCTGCACGGGAAATGTCCTGAAAAAAGGCATCCGTCGAAGGTCACAAACTCCGCGGCGGATGTGCGCATTCTTGACGAAGCGGTGGATGTTTAGGGTGAAGTCGTCGATTTAGGATTCTGGAATTCTGGTTGGATGGAAAAGCCGCATGAACGCTAAATCCTAAACCAAAGCATCTCCTACCCAAAACTCTAAGCCCTCAAAACCTTCGTTTTTGTAGGGTCCCAAAATAATAAGAACCAATAAGAAAGATATGGCAGTTTGAGGAAAGCCTGACGATTCGAGAGGGGACTTGAGCATGTTACTACCGCGGCAAACATCCCTCCCTTTAGGGTTTAGGGAGCTATATACGTAGACACATGTGTATATATATATATATGTATATACATATACTTTTACATAGATAGGGCCTTAATAATTGGAATCAGAATTGGCTTTCTGGTGGTTTTCTGTGCCCAAACACAGGAGTTCCCCGCCTCCTGGCACCGATCCCCCGACCATGCCCTGATCAGGGCTTCCAAAAGGTTCCCTTTAAAGGAGGGGGTCTATAAGGGTTTGGGGTTTCAAGGCGTAGGGCTTCAGGGTTTAGGATTTCAGGGTTTAGGGTTTCAGGGTTTAGGTTTAGGGACGGGCTCTTAATATACGGGTTTCCCTGTAAAGGAAACCTAAGGGGTCTATAGGGCATCTATTCTTCCCAAAAGCTTCAAACTAGGGTTTGGAGTCTTAGGGTTTGGGGTTTAGGGATTTGGGGTTTGGGGGTTCTAAGGTTTGGGGTTTTAGGGTTTACGGTTTTAGTAGGTTTTTAGAGCTTATTAGGGTGAAGGGAGGGGCGTGGCGATGTAAATGGGGGCAAAAAGGATAAAAGTAGTGGGTTGAGTGTGACTATCTGCCTTATTGTAAGTGATGGGTATTCTGTCGGAATGTAACTATCAGCTAAATCAGCTACGTACCAATGAACCTGCGAGTCAGGATGGTCAGGAAACTGTAGTTTCGCTGAATCTGAAAATCGCATGGAATAGTGAGGTCGCGAACTAAGACACCGAATAAATATCGAAACACTTAATCAGCGAGGCGAGCAAATCTGCCTCACAAGATGTAGCTGCTGCTGTGCTATTACAAAGCTGACTATGACAATCACGGTCATGACGGTTGCGGATCAAGAAGTTCTTGCTGCTAACAAAACTTTACAAGTAGCGGCACACTACATGCACGACGGCAGAAACCACAACGACGAAGACGACCACAACGAAAACGACAACGGCTTGTAGCATGCTATCGCGCAGGGACCATGTGCTACACCGCAGTGTAGTCATGAAGGATTTCTTGCGGGAAAACTTCGTCAAAATCTGCTTGACGGGCACGGTGGCCGAAGCGTGCTTCACCAGAATGTGCCACTGCACCACTGTCAAGAGGACATACCGCATGTCAGTATGAACAGCATGTGGTCGCCGTGGCTCTTGCCGCGTCAGCAAGTCCGTCATGGAATCTTCCGTGAAGAATGGATGCGCCTCCTTATGGTGATGTCCTGCCCGGATACAGCCGGATACAACTTCAAGCATGCAGAGCCTCCGATGCACACCACGGATTGATTAATGTCCTTGTCTGTCGTCGAAGTCGAAGTCACAGACTTCTATGAAGTCGTGGTCGCTCCAGGTCTGGGACAAACCAAAACGCTGATGGTAACCCCAGACTTACGTACCCAAAACAAGCAAAAGCCAGGACAACAACCCAGCGTCAACAGAACCCGCGAGGCCACGCATAAGCATAGCACCCTGAGCCTTTCGAAAGCCCCTGAACCGATTCCTCAACCTCAGACTCAC